AGTGCGTGGTCAGTCTTGTGTGGTCAGCGGAGAAGTGCTGACGCAGATGCTAGAGGCATTAAGTGAGGTGATTAGACGTGTTCCAGGTAGTCCCGATCTGGCGATCGATCGACTGTGAGATCTAGGTCTACGTGGAGTGAAGTGATCGATCCTGTGATAGTGTCGTCGATTATCAGTGAAGATAGTGTCGTGCGGGGACGTTGCGTGAGGGATCGTGAGTGGGCAGTCGACCTCGGTGAGGTGTGCGGTGTGGTGTGTGTGTGGTGTGTGCGTGGTGGTTCTCTTTCAACAGCAGCTCGGGTTCACCACGACAAACGCCAGTGTTGTCGTACCCATTCGACTCTAAGGCGACTGCAAGACAGCCAGATACAATTGCGGTCTGGACTAGCAGAAAACCAGGTAAATCTATCACAAGAAACGCACACCTCGTTCAGTAGAATCGCTCTCGAGCCCCAGGATAGATTCACTCTTTCCCTCTCCTCGTCGCTTCTCACTCCTCCTCTCTTCCTGTACTCCTCTATCATGCTCCCATATCCCTGCTCTTCCTCCTATCCGGCCTCCTCCTGCAACTCCTCCTCCCCTCGTCTCGCTCCACTTCCTCATATAGTCCAACCACCATTAGCCTCCTTACTATCTGTTGGAGAAAGGGTACGTAATCGAGTGTTACTCACTCCATGTGACATTTGGTACTTGACATACCCTCCAACATTGATGCTCCCCAGTCAGCTAACGGTGGGAAACAAGCTACATCCGCGCCCGTAGCGAGCTCCGACAGAGAGATAGGGCAGAGGAGAGACAACATTAGCAGAGAGACGAGAGATGAGAGGAGAGAGAGAGAAGAGAGAGAGCCTAACATAGAACAGCGAAAGAGAGGAACTTTATCGCCACAGCAGGAACACGAGAGGAACACAGAGCTGCAGATATTACGTATTCCTGTTGGTCCTGAGGCACCTCTCCCTGGCCCCGAACACACGTATGATTTCCTGAAGTAAAAAGATACCTAGGCGTAAAGGACACAGCGGCAATGACTTCACCACCGCAAGTAAAGGAGGTCTAATGTGGCTATAAACGGACTACAGCCACTGGATCCTGTGATCACTCACCGCTAAGGCAAAGGAGCGCTAATGTTGGGCTATAAAGTTGGAGCTACAGCAATGGTCACATGACTAGCTCACCCCACCTGCTAAGCTAAAGGAGGCTCGATGTTGGGCTAATAAAGGACTACAGCACCGGTCACCATGACTTGCACCACCAGGCTAAAAGCTAAGGAGGCTAATGTTGGGCTAGAAAGGAGACACAGCCGGTAGGGTTGCACCAACTAGTCGACTAGTCCGAACTAATCGAGTCGTACCTTTACCACTAGTCGGCGCTGTAGGCCCTAGTCGACTAGTCGTGAAAAAAATTGAGGTAAACGAGGTGCTGCAAAATGCTACAAAACACGTCCGACATTCTTATGTATGGCAGTACTTCAACGAAGATGTAACCAACTCCACAGTGAAGTGTCAGTTGTGTACAGCTGTAGTGAAGTACAATACAAATGCATCTGCTATGCGCAACCATCTAAAGATGAAACACCCGCTGCCGACAGCTAGCACTAGCAGTAATGCTAGGACCAGTGAGCAACGGACCGGCGTCAGCACTGAACAGAGGCAAACGAACAGCAAGAAAACACGGGTCAACAGTGATGCGGATGATGAGCTACGGGATTACTGCCAGCGGACACCGCATATCCCCACAATGGATAATCCACTGGAGTGGTGGGCAGAAAACGTGCACCGCTTCCCCCGCTTTCGAGGAGCTACCTGGCTATTCCAGCCACAAGCACCCCGAGTGAGAGGGTTTTTTCCCTGGCAGGCAACACTGTCACCCGAAAGCGGTCAAGCCTCCTTCCCTCACATGTCGATGCGTTGGTGTTCAAACCAAAAATATGGAAAGGTGGACGTTATCGTGGAGGACAGCGAATAAAGTGTTGCGCAATGCGCTGTTGCGCACTGGATTTACGTGGCATTTATGTAAACAAGAGTTTTTTGCTGTCGATTTTGGTGAGTCCAGTGTTTGTTATTTACTCAGCCATGTAACACAAATTAAAATGCAGTGTTTAATGTTACTGTATGAGTTCCAATAGAAAATAGAGTTGTAAACCTCTCTTTGTGTGTCTTTATTATGACGTAACGACTAGTCGATTAGTCGACTACTATTTTGAAAAACTAGTCGACTAGTAAATATTGGTAGTTGTGAAACCCCTAGTGTGTGTGTGTGTGTGTGTATCTTCTTGGTTGAATGCACTTAAGTCGCTTTGGATAAAAGCGTCAGCTAAATGCAATGTAATTTGTGTGTATACTGCAGGGGAGAAAAGGCGAGGGGTGAATGAGTCAGACCGCGGGTGTAAATAATGTGCGTTATGGCCACGCGACTGATAGCAGCTCTATTGAAGTCAACCAGCTGCAACAAATAAAAAGGTGGCTGGAGGTCACAAAGACCTTTAGTCCCACAATCCTCCGCTGCAAACAGGGGGAACAAGCCATCCGCTCTCAACTCTTGAACAACCTCTATGACATGCAAGGCACTGGTTGAGCTAGCAATACCGCTAAGTAAGCTAATCTGCTAGCATGTTAATTGCTGACTGGAGAAAAACGTTTATTTTTTCATTGCTGAGAGAAACATTGATGTAATTCAATCAACTTTAAGTGTATTTGGGTGGAGGCAAACATAAATAAACACAAATAGTTATTATTTAGTTTTAAAGTGGGTCTTACCTGACTATGTCCATGGCCTGATAGATGATTTCTGATTGGTCGACTGCTATGACCTTCTTGGCTCCTGCTCTGGCAGCGAACATGGACAGTATGCCAGTCCCACAGCCCACATCGAGCACCACCTGCAGGACGAGAAGCGAAGGAGGTGTGACAGGGGTAAGAAAAAGATCCCTGTAAAAAAGTGCTCTAAGTCATTTGTAAATTAATTTATGTTGAGCTGAAATCCCATGATAGGCGGTAAAAGGAATCTTCACTGACGTTGCCGTTGTGTTTTCTATAGAGAGTGGATGCTAGGCGGAAGCGCTACCCTCTGTGTTGCGCACTGCTTGAAGTTGACGTTGATCGCTGTGCTCAAAGTTCAAATTATTTCAACGCTTTTTTTTTTTTACCGCTGACCTTTTGGCGCAAAACCAATCAGATGACATCTGAATGAAGCAGCGTAAGCTAGCAGGGGACAAAACGATAAATACAAGGAAAACAAATTTACTTTCCAGGATAGTAAGAATAAAGAAGAGATCTTGTTGCATGTCTTTCACAACTTGGCTCTTTTTGTATTTTTGGTATGCAGATTAAAAGTAAAAGGCATGACATTTCAGACATGGGCCCTCATCTGCTGAGCTATATATACTTTATTTTTAATTAACAACAAGATAAATGCTAAGGAAAGTGGACCATCAGCCACTGTCACAGAAGCTGGTATGGCACAGCGGAGATTGTTCTGAAAGATTTCATAACTTTGATAACCTCTAGCTGCTTTGGCATCCACTTTTTTTCTCACATCCCAAATCCAGCCATCCAAATGAATGTTTTATATGTTGGCCTGCTTTGCTCCACAGTTTTACAAATCAAAGTGCTCCATCAAAAAACGTTTCACATCCACCCACAGTTGCCGAGTTTTCTATTTCAGGTTACAGTTAATTTGTTCATTAGCTCCCGGCTGATGTTAAATGGCTGAGGCACAGTTCAATGACGATACACGTCTCTATATCTAACCCTGTGTTTATATGTGTCTCTATTTGGGGCAACTTTAACTCCCCTGTAAGCATCACGCTGCCTTTATAGGTTCACAGGGGGTCGCCAACAAACTGCTGACACAGCACAACTCCGGACTGCTTTCTCCATCTTTCTGTATACCGCTCAGCCACCCACCCCCTGTTAAAAGTACTGAAACAAGAAGATCCTGTTTTGTTCTCTATCTAGTGCTTCCTGTAGAAGGTGACACTTCCCTTTTGCTGTGACAGGGATAATGTACGTTCCCATCAACAAAACCTGCCTCCCTCCTCTACAGCCTCATCCAGGCACTAACCAGCAGCCGCCCATATAATGGATGGTCATGATACAGGCCACTGCTTCCTGCAACTAAAGGCAATGGGGAAAGAGAGGGGTGGGGGCCAGTTGGAAGGGTTTTTTGTTTTCTTTCAGGGGAGGGGGTTTGGTAGTGGATTGCCTGGACCTGTTATCAGCATTCTGCAGTCTACATTCAAGGCGCTAATAAAGTCACACTGTGTTTTAAATCAGACACCATCACCTTATTAATGTCTTCCCTGAAAGATACACACGCCTATTTCTGTTAATAGGCTTGGCTACACATTAAAACAGATCCCCGGCTAATACTGTATGCACACATTAAAGCACATATCTGTTGGCGTGTGTTCAGCAGGCTCACCTTGTCACGGAACACTTCAGGGTTGCGGTACATGAAGTCACGGTAACTCTCTGTTCGCACTTTATCCTGTTGGGAGAATATTCGAAAAATGAAGAACATTACAAACAGACACAAAGGGAAAGAAGAGAGAGAAAAGACTAAAAGAAAGTTTGCTGCAGGGTTTCAAATAGTTAAAAGGATTGTTTAAAGTAGGGTTGTATGAGGTCCTAATCCAAAGTGTCTACAAGCCATTATGTCCATCTTTGATTTTTCGAAAGCCACCAGACTTGATTGAAAAAAATAAGTAATTTAACCTTGTAGAACACAGGAGTTGCTGGTCTACCTCTTTCTCAATGAGTTAGTTTGTGTTATTGTGGAAGTAAAAATGTTGTCCTAGTCCACAGCAGTACAATGCTTTGCTTGGATGCTGCTACTCCTGTCTGTTTCTCAACACTGTAGGTAATACATTGACTTTTATAAGTACCTCATACAGCCCTACTTCTATTCTCTTTAAGGGAAGGGTTATAAATCTAACCTTTAAAAGGATTTTATATTCTTCAAGTTCTACGACTATAGTTTCTATTAGGATGCTTATTTTGTGATATGAAGCTGAATTTAACAAGGGCCTTATCAGGAGAAAGAAAAAAGCTCAGAGCATGGCATGTTACACGCTTTTCAACACAGGAGCAGATAACAGCAGATCAAAACAGAATGTGGGGAATTCTTGAAAATGTTTATGTGATAGATATAACTGGGACTACAAAACATACAATGTGTAGAATAAGTCAGGTCAGTACACACTAATAACATGCCAATCAAAGATCAATTCAACTATGATGTTGCAGTAATGACCAAAGAACACAAAAATTTATGCTACATCACAATGTTAGAAAAACCAACCTTCATGAAGTATCATAACATAGAATAGCTATTATAGTCAACATCAATTAGCTCTAGGCTAATTACTACAAGATTTGTATTTTGTGGAAACATGTCGAACAGGTTATAGACTTAGCATTTAAATGCTTTTTCCAAAATGATTCAACCTTGTTTTTATGACCAACAGCACAGCTGCAGCGCAAACATTTTTGGACTTGTTCGCAGATCGTATTTGTCAAATTTGGCCTAGTGATAATGTTTGAAAGGTAGGTTAAAATGTGTTTAAATCTATCTCAGTAAATGACTGACATGACCACATGTACATTAAAGGTCACCTATCATGCTATCTTTAGGCAATAGCACAGGTCTCAGATATATACAAATATATAAAAAACATGTCTATGAAGTGTTTTGCTCAAAATATCAAACAGATCACCCATTCTAGCCATGCCTCATATCTCTCTATTTCACTTCCTGTTTCAAAAGTGCTGATTGTATGTATAAAGCTTTAAAATATAAAAAGATTGATACAAAATAGAAAAGGAGGGGGCTGAGCTCATGCGGGATATTCTACCGGCAGATTCTGCGGTGATGAAACGCCATATCATGGATTATCAAGGATTATTTCTGAAACAGTATGGAGCTCAAAGGCTTTCTCTCTTGCCGGTTATACCACAAGGTAAGTTCTTTTTTTATTTCCTGCTTCTTCACACACATGCTCTCCAGTACAAGTTAGCTCTGAGTGTTAGCGATGCTAATGTAACCATGCACTGACCATATTACGTCCAAAACAGTCGGGCATTGTTTCTGATAGCAACTTTCTGATAGTGCCGTGGGTCCACATTTTCAATATTACGTCCTATCGGACGCAAATCTGGATCAGCTCCATTGTAGCCCCGTTTTTAGAGATTTGGGTACGGAGGAAAATAGAGAGGGTTTTATTTTCTGACGCTGCGTGAGTTCCCTGACACACCAGGGACACATATTTATGTATAAAAGACATCAAAAAGTGCATTTTGCATGATAGGTCCCCTCTAAGAGAGTCATCTGTCACTCTAATTGAACTCTTTCTCTCGAGCCCTCTGTGCTTTACAGTGTTTCCTTGCTGAGCAGCAGCAGAGGGACAGTTACACTAGGAGGGAATTTCAGTATAGAAGATCCAAACTTTAGAACAGCTACACTTGAATGCATTCTTCCCCCAAAACCTTTTTGGTCCATAAAGTGAATGTTCTGTAAAATTAATGCTACATACTGAACACCAGGTATTGCAGTTTAAATACAAAAAATGTAATCAGATTTTAGTATATGAACAATTTCCACCACGATGGAACACTAAAACTCTCCACAGAAACAAATTAAATGATTCGATGGGATAGCTTCATAAAGCAAAGTTAGACAGGTTAACTTAAATATTAAATCGGGGATAAATTAAGAGTCGTTTAATTTTAAACCGAAGCAATGTACGTCTAACTCACTTCATATTGTGACGCCACACACACATACTGCAAAGCCCCCCTGTCAATTGTACTCTGCACCTTTGAGGCGGTGATGGACTTTACAACCTGACGCACTAGCACATACATGACGCAAAACTTAACAGTCCTCAGGACCAATCAGGACGGCCAACAGGAATATTTCAGCACTGCGGTAAGTAGAACAGGAAAGGAGGAGACAGAGAGCTCCCCCCCAAAAAACACACCCCCTCTGCCTTCTGACACTTTGAGGTTTCAGCGCTTGAGCAGTGTAAAGATGTATTTCCACATTTCGAACATCGGCACTGCTGGTGTCTCACATGAGAGCGCGACATTTATTGCTGATTTATCACTTTTGAGAAAATGACTTGTCCTCAGTAGCAAAGTGTGCATAAAGATGATCGTTTTCATATGCATGCTACATGGAAATCTTTCAGCCAAGACGCACGCTGATGAGCACACTTTTACTCTGCGGAGATTTCTGCAGCCTTGACTCACAACACTGCGATGAGATCTGCAGGCCCGGCGTGTGTGTGTGTGTGTGTGTGTGTGTGTGTGTGTGTGTGTGTGTGTGTGTGTGTGTGTGTGTGTGTGTGTGTGTGTGTATATATGTTTTTGCAGAACACAGACCTTCAGCATCTCCTCATGAATGCTATAATGGCCGTAGGAGCTGAAGTAGGCCTCGTCCTCGTCCTCTCGGAGCTCGGCCACGGTGCCCAGGTTGCCAGGTCGGCCGGTGTCTGCGTTCATCACCAGACCCTGAACCAGCAGCCTGCGAAAACACGGGACAAATCTGCGTTTCACTTCTCATATATATAGATTTAGTACACGGGACAAGAGCAGCGACCAGAAAGCAGAAAGCACACACAACCTTCATGCAGGACGTAGCAGTAAATGGAGGAGATGGGAGGCATTAATCTTTCTAACTCTCTTCCAACCCCCCCAGCCTCACTCTTTCTGTAATTTTCCCTTATTGCCCCCCTCCTTCATACCTCCCCTCCTCACTTTAACCTCCATGCTGCAGTGGAATTTTCCTTCCTCCTTTTTTTTTTATAAATCTTTTCCCTTGCTCCAAACTTCTTCCACAAGGTATTCTAGTGGATGTTTCTGCAATACTGGGTTCACTGTGGCCCTCTGCAGGCCATTAGGGGGAAGTGCAGAAGTAAACACGCAGAACACACTGCAAGCTTAAAAGGGTTTACCGTAGGGGGTGCTCGATTATGGCAAAAATCATAATCACGATTATTTTGGTCAATAATTGATATGACGATTATTAAAAACGATTATCCATTTATTGAAAAAAGAAATGTGAACAGTATATTTTCAACAGTTGATTACCCTGAACTTTAAGTATAATTCAACTGGAAAAACCAATAAAAACATTATTAAAAAAATTATAATTAATCTTTTTTTTTTTTTAAATAAAAATAATAATCTTTTTATTTTGATTACGTTGTTTTCGTAATCGTTGCAAGCCAAAATCGTAATCGAGATTAAAATACGATTAATTGCACAGCCCTAGTTGACCGTAGACTGTATACCAATGTTGACATGAAATCAATTGATAGGTCAACCTTATTACATCTAGAGCAGGGGTACTCAAACTTTTTTATTTAAGGCCCACTTGTGAACTTTATACAAGGTCACTGGTCCGGATCAATGCCAGTAAAGTCAGCCAAATGCAATGCGTGTCACGCTCGCGAACACAAGTAAATATATATGCACGTTAGGGCTGAACGATATATCGTGTCATGGCGATAACCGCGATATGCGCATGCACGATATTCACATCGCAGGGATGTGCGATTTTATTAATTAATTTTTTGTTTTTTTTGTTTTGGGACGTGCGATATTAAGTAGGTAAATTAACTCAAACACGTCATGTTACAATTATTTTGCTTCTTGCTACAAAAGGAAAACTTGCGGGGCTCTCATGTCAGCGGTACTTGAGTGAGTGACATGCAGGCTCTGCATGCACAGCAAACCACCAATCACAATCCTTCTAGATCAGATCACAGCAGGCCCCGCCCCGCTAGTATGCAGGCCATCAAAACACCGGTAAAAAATGAGCGAGGCACAGGAGGACAATACCGGCGAGAATGAAGATTTACTTCCAAAAAGAAAAGCAACATCTGCCATCTGGAACTATTTTGGATACAAAAAGGTTCTTCTCTTCTTCATTCACAAATGAAACCCCTTATTTGAGGGTAAGCAACATGCATCATCAGGACATGTTAGATCATGACTTAAGGTATGATGAGTCAACCAGTTAAGATCCAGACGTCCGTGACTAAAATCCTTTATCCGGTTAAATATAGTTAAAAAAAACGCAATATATATCGCAGGGGAAAAAAATATCGCAATGTCAGTTTTTTTCAATATCTTGCAGCCCTAATGCACGTTCATTCTCACAACGCATCAGAAAATATACATTAATTTACATCAGAATCAGAAAGTTTTTATTTTGTATAATTTTTTATAATGGGACACAGGGTTCGGCCCGGATTGATTTGTAGTTCGGTCCGGATCCGGACCTTATCCGGAGTTTGAGAAGCGCTGATCTAAAGGTTATAACAACAACAACAAAATACAGAAATCTCACTGACTTGAGTTTCTGCATGTCTTCCAGGGATCTGGTCAGCGCATCCTCAGCGGCCTGTACCCTCTGCTCCTGTGCATCATGGGACTTGGCCCCAGACGACTGGCACGCCGACAGGCTCGACCCCCCACAGAGATCCTCAGGGTCTGCCAGAAACACAGAGCGTAAAGGCTGAATACAGTGACTAACACAAGCTCAAATACAGGAAGACAAAGTTTACATTTTGTGTATTTTGAATTTTGAGCTGCATGTTTATCGAGAGTATTTCACAGGGCTACTGCACAAACATCTTAAACATCAAATGTAAGGACTTTCTCAGGCCAAATGTTCTCAAATTCAAGTATCAAACACTAAATAGTTTGAGACCAGGAGAAGGTTGATTAGAGCAACATTAAAAATTGTTAAATTAATTGTTAAATGAGAATTGGCAGACTTTACACAACTTCAAAAAGATGCAGAGGTTTGCATCTGTGTTCACATCTCAATTGTGCTGGGTTACAGTAAATCTAGCAATGACTAATATTTCTGGAATAAAATGTATTTCTTGATCAATATGAATTCAAGAACTTTTAATGATCTAGATCTACCGGTGTCTATTTTTAACGATCGTCAAGGCCTTGATTTTCTTTCTTGAAATTCACGAACTCCTACGGGTTTTAAGGACCCGTTTTTTAATCTAATATTCAAACCTGCCAGTGGTTTTGGGAAAACTCTCATTACTCTTTCCAAGGTTCATTAATTAGATGTTGTGTGTTTGCTTTTATTCCTGAAAGGATGTTATAGCTTTAGATTGTCACCAGTTGTTAATAAAGCCTGAGCTCAAATATCAATTACAAACATCATCAGAGAGCAAAGGCTTCTTGCTGCAGCTGCCATTTCCGCACATTTAAAACCATACAGTGAGGATTGCACAACAGAGGAGACAGATAGGCTTAATTCTACAGCCAGGCTCTGTACTCAATAAAAAAAAGGTATAAAAGTCACACTTTTTCTCAACAGGAAAATATATATCACTCCCATAACTCCACTAACGCTCTCTGCACCTCCACCCAAAACTAAATCCTGCTCCTTCTCCGACTTTTTTCAATCATTTCGGAACAATAACGCTAATAGTAAAGGTTAAAAACAGCTATACAAGAGAAATGTAATCTACAAAATTCAATAAATATTTTTGTTAACTATACTAAATGATTATGGAAAAAACAAAAACGACTTTTGTGACTGTATGTGTGCACAACCTAGCCCAACACCAAGAATGTCTTTAAGTAGATATTGAGATACAAAAATGTGCATCGTTATTCACATGTCTACAATTTATACTTGGAAAATTATATATTTTATTCAATGGCACTTACTGAACATGTTTCACCTCTTTCCTACGGACCACCGCTGAGCAACTGCTAAATGTGAATGTGTTATGCCTTTGTGAGAACCTTACAAGACACTAGTAGTTTTGAAAATCTAATACAATTTTGCAAATATTGTCTAATGAGACGGACATATCTATCGAGATTGTAACTGAGTTCATTCAAACGAAAGCAGTTCCGTACCTGTCTGCAGGAGGGGGTCGTCCTGGATAACTGGCCGCAGGAAGTCTTCACTCTCCCAGGGTAAAGGACCATCTGGCAGCCCTGCTAGACAGGCTGCATCACATTTCTGCAGAAAAAAAAAACAATCAGTCCTATTGCACTTTTTTTAAATGTATATTTCATTTAGTTAGCTATTTTTCACTGCATACTTTGTGATGTTTTTTGGACGAAACGTTAGCAATCTCTATGCACAGTGAACACAAGCTAAAAACCAAAGTCCCAAACATCAAGGAAAAACCAAACAATATATCAATTTAACAATATAGTGTGAACATGAAATCTTGTGACAGATTGTACTTACTGTTGACCGTATGAAGTTGATCATCTTTATGTAACCATAGTCATCTAGATCTAATGAGGGAAAACAAAAAAGTGAGACATTTTTTAAAAACTGAATATTCCTCTGATTGACACAAAGCATTAGTGCCTGCTTACTGTGTTTTCTCATCACGCCCACCAGGTTGAGCTGGTGCTCAACAACGCAGTGCTGCAGGGTGGCCGGCACGGAGCTCAGCAACCTAAAACATACCAAGTGAGAAAATATGTTTAATTAAATGTATACAGTAAACTTCCATGTGTTCATCTTCAAACGTCGTAACGGATTCTGAGATGTGTTACTTTGCCGTGTAGAGAATTGACTGGATCACAACCAGTAAAGCATAGAATTACACCCTGAATTGTATGAATACAAAACAGTTGGTTCGCCTCATTTGTGGTGTAAAAGCCAACAAACCAACCGCGGTATTTCATGATAGCTGGTAAGGAACTTTAGCATGTTTTTTAAAAGACTTAATTACTAATAAATCGAATTAGCTGATTGTAAAAATGGCTCAGAAAGCAATCTTAGAACTGATTGCAATAAAGCCATGTATACAACCAGAGTTGGGTGTAGCGCGTTACAAAGTAATAATAATATTACTTTTGTCGGTAACGGAGTTGTGTAACGCGTTACTTTTATAATTCAGTAATCACACCACAGTTACTAACATTGCCCCGACACGCGTTACTTCGCTACTTTTATAAAATCAGTCATAATCACACTGACAGACAAGAAGGGTTTCCGCCGCAGGTTTATATAGGCTACGTAATCTGCATGATTTGCGCGTCCACATCTCCACGTGCAGTGCTGCATAAACATGGCTGAGTCAGCGATAACTTTCGAGGGGTGGAGGTATGCCCATTATTTTGAGTTTGTCCGAAGAATAGACTATTAGGGTATAAGGGACAAACCAGGGGACTTTACTTCCTCTTGATATTGTCGGTTATTTACAAAAAACACCTAAATATAGCCTACTTGTTATTGAGCTTCTGTCTTTCTGTGTCTTTTCATCTGTAAACTCCCTCAACGGGGCCGCTCGCTCTCTTTTCTTGCTCGCCCTCTCACGGGTGAACAGTTCAGTGTCCCGCTTCATTGTAGGAATTAAGCCATGTCTCTACCACTTTAGTTTGCCATCTCTGTTACTAAGTTATGGAATACTTAATAAATAGGCTAAGTAGGCTAATTAGATACCTTACCGTTACTGCGCTCATAAAGAATGATAAGAATAAGAATAATGCGTCTTGAACTGGTTTCATTAATTAGTGTCTTTACATTTCACAGACTGTTAGCTTGTTGTGGTAGGCTGGTAGCCTATTTTATTAAAGAGCATATCAAAAGAAAGACTTGTGTTATGTCTTCCTTAATGCAATAGTAATTGGGGGTGCAAGTGGAGTCTCGCAGAGGCAAAAATGTGGCGCGCTTACACTGTAGGTCCGCCGCAGTCTGCGTGATCTGCCTGTAGGGAGGGGCGGGCCGGCCCTGCGAGTAAAGTAACGAGTAAAGTAACGAGTTACTTTATGTAGAGAGTAACGAAATAGTGTAATATATTACTTTTTTTTTTAAAGTAATATGTAATATATTACTTTTTTTTAGTAACGACCCCATCTTTGTGTACAACCCATTAAAGCACATCAACAGTAATCACATATTGTCCCTGTTTAATAGGTCAAAAGCTAGTTAAACTGCTTTGCATGTTACTGCTCTGTGTACTTAGTCAGTTAATTGAGTCGAATTTTAAAGTGAGTCCCTGCGATCCCAAATATTATTCATAACATGGGGTTGATTTGAATTCAAATGATATACCAAAGAACGACAAATAAGAATAAATACAATTTTACATTTAAAATAAAAATGTAACAAATCATTATCTTTGATTTTTATTCTGACCTGAAAAGGGAGATTACGTGTTTTGTTTTTGACATGTATGACCAAGCCGACTGTTTGCGTTGTTGTTGTATTGTATGTTATGTTTTTCACAGCTGTAATGTAACACTGTCACATTACATACAACACAACCGCTATATCATCATTGCTTGTCAATTTGTGTTCAAAACAAAAAAATGTAAAACTGTATTCAATCAACAAGTTATTATATTTTTTAGTAACTTTTGTTTGACTCCTTTGGTTTCGTTTGTAAAAATTGCGAGTAGGACTTTGACCTTAACTAAAATGCAACATGCATCTTTTCTTGTAGGTATAAATTAAAGCAAACCACTCTATATCACAGTCCTATGGTTTTAAAACAGGTACTAAACATTAATGACATTTGGCTGTGCAGACTAAAACCAAAGTAACTTCTTATGCATGTGTTTGAGGTTTCGGTAAATAGACACAACCAGTGAAAGAGAAGTCTGACAGTAAAGACGTGCTGTAAGATTAGTTGAAAGTCATCTCACCTGTCACAGAACAGACAGGTGACTTTAGTTGGCTCACTGCCATCTTCATCCATACACTGCCACAGCTCCTCATCCTCAATGTCTTCATCCTCACCGTCAGAGAGCTCGGGCATCTCGTCTGCAACCCCGTCACAGTCTGTAGAAATAAAACCTCATTACAGCTGCATGCACACGGAAACGTTTCGCTGTGTTTTAGTAAGCTAGTCCTCAGACATTAGCATCAACGTTGCAGCTAGGCAAAAGGTGTATAACTTAACGTTTGACGTAACTAAATTCACAGTTATTCCACTATTTACGCTTTAAAATTAAACGTCAGCCAAAAAAAGGGTTTATATGTTCAACAGCTATCGTTTTTGGGGTTAAAATGTGCTATTTACCAAACTCACGTGGGTTTGTGTATTCTGCCATGATGTCGCTTTGGTTTCAGTGGACTTCCCGGTCACGTTTGGTGACGTAAAGAAAGGGGCCGGGCCATAGACTGGCATATAGACTGAATCAGAAGAGCGTGCACATCTAAATAAACACCACAAGATGTCGCCAGAGTTTAATTCATGACACAGCAATGATGATACCTCTGTCTACACGTCTATTCCAATCCAGATACATAATCTTTGTGTTGTTGACTTCTCACCCACAGCCACTAATGCCCAACTAGACAAATCATTTAGAGTGCAGACAGCTGGGACATTAATAGTTTGATAAAGAAAAATGCATAGTTTAATTTGACAATGCTGGTTCTAAATGTAGCTCAATAGGTACAAAATTATTATTTGAAGACACTCGGATGCTTTGTTCTTTTGAAATAGGGTGTTAAATTATATAGCTGACAAAGAGTTTACGCTTCCTAAAATTAAGTGAAAATGGTGCAGACAGAAACATTGGGAAAATATATGTTATACATTTTGCAAGTTGTAATAGATTTGTGGTCATTACAATAATTATAATTTCAAAAACATATTGCTCCAAACTGGCAGAGCTCACCTACGGTTTATGTTAGATTCTATTTCAGGTGTAATAAAGAGTATTTATGTAAAGAAAGAAACTGAAGAACAAAAGCAAAGCATCAATGTTCTTTATTAGCAGTCAGTTAGCAGCTTTGATCATCTATTTTCTGGGGGGGGAAAGATAGCCATTTCACGGCCCTGGAACTTTGGAATTTAAATGTTTGCAAACAGATGCAAATATATTGTAAATAGTATTTCAGTTTTACCACAAGGCTTGCTGATGTTTGTCAAATCAGCATCTGCAGGTCAATTCAAACTCAATTATTTTTCGTTTTGAAGACCTGAGACAGTACAGCTTTTGTTTCTTCATCTTCTGGTTGCAGCTTTGGGGAAAAGACTGTAACGGTCCCATTTTGTTCAGAGGGAGATCCAACTTCTGCTTTGCTTTCAGACTGGCCCTCAGGGTTTGATGCTTGAGGTGTGAGCTCTGCATCTCGGCCCTCTGTCTGCAAGGTCAAAGCAGTCTTGGTGCTACACTCCCCAGTAACTGGAGGAACAGCTGTTGCATTACCTGTGGAAATCAAACTGGGGGGCTGGGTTGTCTGTGGAAATGTCTGATTGGGAGCTGTTGTAATGTCTAATGAATTGGTCCGAGCAGGGAGATCATTGTTTGTAAAACGTGTTTGGAAAGGTCTGAATTTCCCTCCATGGACGGGGATATCTGCTCTCTCTGTTGGTGCAGACCCCATCTACCCTGATTCCTTCTACCTGCAGAAGCTTGGGGCCATGTTTTGTCAAGAGGCTTAATGTGGCGCACATGGGTGTATCCTCTTGACATCCCATCACTGCTATAGACCCTGGGACTCCATGATGGAGAAGATATCCGTGTCTCAACCTTTCCTGCTGGATTGCTGCCAGGAAAATGTCCTTTATTGATAGGTCGAAAGGTTATTCTGCCATGATTCAAGCTTTTGGGGGAAACTTTGGACCCAGAGGGGTTTACGTGAATCTTTTGTGTCTCAGACTTCAGATTAGGCTTAAAGGTTTGAATACTTGGACGTGCATTACTGCTTTAGGAGTAGACCGGGACCCTTCTGTCGTTTGGTCCAAAGTCTACAGGTGCTTTGTCTACCAGAGCAGCTGAAAAACTTCATGTTGATTTCAATCTGGTGTGGGAGACACGGGGTGGACGCTGCTCTACACCTGCAGAGAACTCCGAATCAGGGTTTACCTGCTGAGTCTTCTTGCCATCAGGGGAAGTGAATGCCTTGTTTCCAAAGCGCTTGAACACCACATAATTATGCCCTCGAGTTACTAAGGCCAAGCCAGGGTTTAAATGGCTGATTTGGCTTTCTGGAACTTTGCTTTTTTGAATTTCAGGAATAACCGGATGATGGATTTGGATTAGTGAGGATTGAGAGGCTGTGGTGTGATGTTCTGCAGGGTACATTTTGCCATTGCAACCACTCCATCTGTTATATTCTCTGTTGCCATTGTGGACACCCACTGGAGCCTGTCCTGACTGGACATAACCTATTAAAACAAAACACAGAAAGAGAGTGTAAAAATAATTGTATATAAATCCCTAATTGCTGTTAAAATTGCATAGTTACATACCTCTCTGGGTATTCTTACAATTGACATAACCAAGCAGCATCCACAAACAAAGCACACAAAGCCTGCAGAGTAAACAGGTAAAGGTCATAAACACATATTAAAATAAACACAAGTCAAAAAGCTGCAATTAAACAGAGCAACTTACCTAAAACTGTCTGTACGGCTCATTGTTAAACTGCACCTTATCCAGGAGTGAATGGCAGACTCCAAACCCTATTTATAAACTCTCTGCAGTGAGAGGCATCAGCTCAGCTGTTCCTCATTTTGTACTAATGGATGGGCGGCCATGATGGCAACACCTAAAGCTGCAGGAAGAAAATAAAGCTGCTCGTTTTTCCTTCAAACAAAAGTCTATTTTTGGTTGGTTCTACTGCACATTAATACTTATTAGGTGTTACATGATGTAGGATCAGAACAGAATATGGACCCAAGGACTGTCAAAAGTTAATTTTTAATATTGGTTGTCTCAATGAAAATCTTGCCTTAGATATATTTATGGTTTTAGCTGCAATGTAAAGAGATATAAAACCTATTGTGTGTAAGATAAGGACACAATATAATAGGCCATTAGTACATAAGGTAAAAACGTTATGACTTTAGACTTTAACCACAGATTTGACGATTCCTCCAACCTTAGAGCCCAATGAGTGAAACCGCATTCAGTCACAAGAGGGTGCTGTTTGATCAAGAAGAGAAAATACGTTGAATTCACTGATCTCTCATACATGAAGACAAGTTGTGCTTCAGATAAACCAAAAGAATACATCAAAACACATGCATATTTAAATTATTAAAATACAAAGCAGTTAACAAAATAATAAAATATATAATGATCAACTTGTTGTCCTGTTAAATTCTAAAGACTTTTTCTCTTTTTAAGTTATTATGGTCTGTCACTAAACAGCAATTTCATTTGTATGAACACAAGTGCTGGTTTTCATCTGTCTGCATCATGGATCATTTTTGTGGTTGAGAAAAAAAAAGCAATAGATAAAAAATATACTAAAACTAGATGTTTTTAAGACTTTCAATTACTTCACTTTGGTAGGACTACAAACTTTCTTTAGAAATAAGTATGCAAAATTAATTGTTAACAAAGTTTATCAAACATTGTTTAATTGCTAGCATTACTGTAGAAAAACAAAATCATATCTAATGTATTTCTTGCATGTTATATTTAGCATACTTCTGTTATAAAATGTTTGAAATATTGTGTGTGTGTATAAACTGCACAGATGTAGTACTGCAGTTATACTCAGAAGATTATTCATATTGACACAGCTATTATGGAAACATGTTTCTAAATCAAACACACAGTCACATTTCTATAATAATTTAATGAAAATATGTTAGAGACATCAAATATTTTAATTGTATTAGACATTTAAGCTTTTACTTTAAGGCAATGCAATTACATAAAATATATATAATATTAAACATACCAATCAAAAGCAAAGCAAAAAAGCACAAAACAAATGAAAATATAATATCTTTGCTAACTAAACAGATCGTCTTGTCTTTTCAAGTATGTGAAAATCCTTTGACATCGTGGTCATGGGAATAGTGTTTGTAGTCATCCCAGTATATCTGCTGGAATTACCTGTAAAGACAAAATAAAATCAATGGTTTGAAGTCACAGCTCAAACTTAAAATCACAATGCAATTTTACTGACGAAGTCTTAACTTTAAGCAGATTAAAAAGGACCAATAATAAATAAGATGGATGTGCCAAAACATTAATTTGGATCATGATATGAAAGCTAAATCAGAGAGATCAGTCTAGTGAAACATTTTTTTTCTGAATTTACAACAAAATTGGTCAGGACATTTAAACTAATCTGATCTGAAATGTTAAGAGCTTTGTTATGAAAACAAAAAATAGTACTCATTAGTTATTAATGATACTTCATACTCGTATAAATTAAAACTGCCTTGTGAAAGAAGATGAATTATGTTCCCACAAAAACCACCATTTTGCTCCAACATGGTTCAGTCCCATGCCAGAAATCCTTCCCTTTAACATAATGCTATCAGTGTAAACGGTTAACCTTTTTCTCACCTCAGTGTATTTTTTGCATTTTCTTATTGCCCTGCACCCTTTCCCAGACTGGCGATGTCTTTGTTCTCTAGGATCTCTGTCTTCTGCTCCGGTTGAAGCAACGTGTTAGACGCCATCGCTTTTGCGACCGCTTGGATTGGGATGGACATGGCCGTAGAACAGACGGCGGACACGGCACCGAAGAATTTCCTGGCCAGCCACTCAGCGGGCCGACTCTCCTGCCTGTCTACCAACAAAACCCTGTTGCAGAAAACAATAAAGGTATTGATGATTTAGGGATTCTATTGGCTTGGATCAGGCTATTGGTGACGACCACTTCATTCAGCAGATTTGACATTTAGATTTGTTCTCCATTGGGGCCATTAACAACATTGATTATCAATGACACAGTACAATCAAGTTTAATCAATCACTTGTATCACGTTAAATGGTGCGACCAACTGTTTTTCATGGGCTGCACAGGAGTGAAAAACACTGTGGTACATTACAATTTCACCATGACTTTCAAAAAAGCATACTTAAAGCTCTTAACATCTATTTATGAAATCTTGGTGTGACATTTGACAAGGCAATGCATTTTGATCAGCATGTTAAATGATTGACCCGTAGATGCTTTTTCCCCTCTAAGAAATAGTGCAAAGCTCAGGTCTGTCACAAGCGGAGCTTGAAATGATCATTCATGCTTTATCATCCTGGATGGATTATCGTAACTCCATTTTCACGTGTTTCAGCAAGTCATCTCTGAACTACCTACAAAAAGGTCCAGAAAGCTGCTGCCAGGCTGTTACCAGGTCCAGCAGTTCCAACTTAGAACACTTGGAGACATGGGTAATTAAGAGCAAAAGCCTTTTTTTGTGTCCTTTAAAATGATAAGCTATCAGCAGCCATCAGATCACATAATCAATCCCCACATTCCTACAATCCAATGCATTTGGGTGCAATTGTCTGTAACGGATTAAGATAATGTTCACATGCATAATAACATTTGCTGCAGCAGAGGATGCATATTTTCAGGATGAGATCCTCAACTGTTTGACTATACTTATGTTGTAATGTATGTACAAACTCCAATTACAATCAAGTTGGGACGTCGTTCGCTTTTCAAATCCTTTGCGACATATATTCAATTGAATACATTACACACTCATTTTGAATGTGATGCCTGCAACATGTTCCAAAAAAGCTGGGACAGGGGCAACAAAAGACTGGGAAAGTTGAAGAATGCTCAAAAAACACCTGTTTGGAACATTCCACAGGTGAACAGGTTCATTGGAAACAGGTGAGTTTAAAAACAACTTTTTTGGAAATGGGGTTTTGTAAAATGTAATCATGTATGTATCTTTTTGTTTGTTTGAGGAAACTGTGTCTCGTGGTGAATATGGAAGTTGGTCACATAAAAGGATTTAAAAAATGTAATGAGACTACTCACCCTGGTCTGTAAATGGCAAATCTGTCAAAACCTAGCGCCTCAATTTCTGCCTCCACTTGTCCCTGGAAGAGAATCAATTTCATGTTAATCTTTTCGTGAATATCCAATTTCATTATTTATTGAAACACACAGGAAAGCCTTAGTAGAGAAAAATAAAAACACTTCAGTATGTGGCTCGCAGAATAGAAAGGAAATAAAGTACCTTGACTTTGAGGTAGAGGAAGTTGCTGTTTTTATCCGCTCCTCTGGAGGACTCCAGGTGGAACTCAGCGCAGCCTCCTGCCTTGGCGAGCTCTGCTGATTTTAGAACATAGTCGTGATCAACTCGGATGAATCCTTCCTGAAATAAATGAGAATTATGTGAATAAAATAACAATAAAATACAGTATTTTGACAACATTGACAGGTGTCTGACACATCCTACCTGCAGCTAACAATTACATCTTTTTTTATTAAAATCAGCAAAATAGCTAATTGGCATTTTACTTGATATTAATTGATAAGATAATGTTGGCAGATATATTGGCCTAGGCACTGTTTCAGTCTTAACCACTGGAAATGGTTGCACATGGCAATGTGTCATCTCTACTGAGCAACAACACCTTAAAATCCTCAAATAAACTGTATTTTTTTGTTATTTTGTTATACAGTAATTGATTCACCAGTCTTGTTCTTGTATCTGTCTGATACAATGTTACTTACAGTTCCTGCTTTTGCTTTGGTGGTTCCCAGACAGCAGTAGCCGACATCATGGCCCTGGAATGACGCAGCATAATCCTCAAGCTTCTCAAAGTCCACCACCTCTTGGACCTGGAGGCAAAGAACAGAGTAAAACACATGTCAATCTCAACTTGATGAACCTCAGACAATTGGGAGTCACATAACATGAATCAAGCCACTAACCAGGTTTTCATTTGCTTTGTCTTCAAAGGTGAGCGTTCTCCTTCCGATCAGGGTGATCTTGGAGAAGATGTTGCGCCCAAGCAGATCTTGAAGCAACATCCTGCCCGTTTCCCCAGAGGCACCGAGGATGAAACAGCTTTTATTTTGCTGCCTGAAATTTTCTTCCAGAGTTTTGGTGTCCTCAGCCATGCTGTGTGAAAAAGCAGATATCTCTCTTAGCAGCTTAAATGGGTGCAGGTTATGCTAAAAATGAAACGTAGTTGGCAATGCGTGCAAATGCTAACAATGCTGTGCAAACATTGTTTACTATCTTGGCTAAAGAGAATTTTTCACTATTATTCACGACAATAACAATGCAGTTAGGTAATTCGACTGCCATTGTAAATCATGTTAATAAAAGCCATCCTGTTGAGACAGAAGCTAGTTAGATGTTGGGACTTTCATATCATATCATGTCTATCCTAGAGTCGGTGGGGGCCTTAGGTAAACATTCACTGGGGGCCCCTTGAACAAGCTTTTCATACCCCCACCCCCCGGAGCGGAGCAAGGGACCAAAACTTAAGATAAGAAGCAGCATTTTACGGCATGCTATGCATGGGGCCACCTTGAGGGGATTTCCCGACATGTCGTTGCAGTAAATTAAAGGGTGTTTCATTTTGTCGTTGCTGTGGACCTTCTCAAATCTACCTTCATTGGGGGCCCCCCTTCTGTTCCGGGGCCCCAAGCAGTTGCCTGCCTTGCCTGTTGGCAAGGTGCGCCCCTGTATCTATGTTTGGGACCAAGAAAATGCGTTGGACTCTCGTCTACCTTGGTAGACAACAGTAATATATTACACACGGGTGTATAGTGCAATGTATGCCGAATTCATGAGAGGATGCATATACTTCATAATCCAGTTCTATTTCTGTTTTGCAAGTCAGGCATGTTTGTACAACCAGAAAATAAACTTGAATTGACGGATTGGTGAACGGGGTTTGGCTTGACGTTGTGTCGATCGATACTCGTGTTTACTTACACAGGGAGTGACGTTCTTATGTTAAATTTTAAAAAAAATCACACTTGTGGTTCACAGGTCTGGGATCAGAGATTAGCTGAATTTAAACAGTGCTTATAGCCTATACGAATTGACCTTAAATTACGTTAAATGTATCTTGTGTTAGCAGCGTAACACTCATGTGCCGAGCTGACGGAGGAGCTAACAGAGCTTTCCGCTGTTCTTTACCTGTTGTATTTAACCGGATCAGGGTCGTCGAAATAATTGAAAATCACTGCAATGAGAACAATTACGACAGTGAAGATCCCGGTCGCGTTTCCTAGGATGGAGTCCAGCAGTTTCATAACAGATATTGCCAGGAGCAATGGCTAAATTGCTGGGACACTTCCTGGTTGCTTTATGTTCACAGACGGTGCTCCCTCTGCTTCGTTAATAGGTTGAGGGGGGGGAACAGTAAAGATCGCCAAACTCAACGACTGACAGCTCGATGTACACAAATACTGTTATTTGAATGTTTCATTCATTTGGTAGGATTTAGGATACGATAGTGAATCCAATGGAAAGGGACAAAAGCTTGTAATTTAACAAGCCTCGATGCTCATCCTCATGTACCACCATACACAGGAAGGAACAGCGCATGCGCACTTGAAATATAAAATAAGCCTACAAAATAATCTACTTTCACAGTTTCTTACTAGAAAATACGAGTTCACCTGTTTTAGTGAATTGCTTACTATGTGTTAACCCTTAGTGAACTTAATTTATATCTAATGCATTAGAGGTTTTATACTAAACATCAATATCTCCCACAATTAAATGAATGACAACTTTGTGCGTAAACACAATTAATTTGTCTTTTAAAATGTATTTAACTATAACTATTAGGAATAAGAAACAGATAGCTTCATGCTTTTATTTTCCTGAGGAAGATATTTTTGTTTATTGTGGAAAGATATAAAAATAAAGCCCAACTAATTATTCCCCATCTCCACAACTCTTATTCAACTTACCCCAATAAAAAGTATTCACAGTTCAGACAGTTTAGCATGTTGCACTTTTAATTAAAATACATGTTGCCAAGTAGAGGAGAGTGTATAGAAATACTCTGTTACAGAACTCTCATTGGATCTTGCATTCTGCACTATGATCTGTAACATTTAATCACTGCAGAAAGCTTGGATCTTCCATTTGAAGGGAACCATTTAACTAAAGATGGAAGACAAGATATTCTCATTGCTAAAATCAAACCCTTACACCAGCTGTCAAACATTTGTCCTCATCTATTTAGGTTGTCGTCATTTGTAATAACTCCATGAGACCTGACCCTGATACACCAATGATTGATTTTAATAATAACCAGGTCAAAAAACTATCGTTTTGTATCGAATAAGTAGAAAAGTCATCCAGGATGGCAGCACCTATGTGTAATTTGTTCAGAACAAGATCGAGACTGGACCCAAAAGAGAACCAAACCTTGACAAACGTATTTGCCTTTTGTCAGACCATCAGGGGGTTTCATTAGCCAAAACCTCTTTACAAAGAAAGCAAGTCCAGTCACATGCAATGAATTCATCAACACCCCATGTTTTTAACACCCCTGCCACTTGGAATACAAGGCATCGACCCAATCTAATAGAATATGATGGAGCCAGGGATGATCCTTTAAAGATGTCAGCAGTAAGAGACAGAAAGAAAAGAGGCTGAGGTTGAGAGAAGAGGTCTTAAACTGGCACTCTGCTGAAATGAAATGTCGCCTCTTTGTTCCTTAGCTGCGGGTGCTAATTGGGCCTACCGGCGGGGAGGAAAACTACCGCTGGGCTCCTGTCTGTCACACCTGTTGAGTCATTGTCTCTCGCATTGATCAGACAGGAAGTTGGAGTAAGAAGGCTTATGCCTCAGTGGGTGCGTGGCAGAAACATGGTTCAATTTCCTTTCAGAGCTCCGCTGCCGGAGGTGGAAATACCAATGGTGGTCAGTGGTCAATTGCGTTTGACCATTGATTAGCCTGCACTAAAGGACATATGGATCCTGAAGAGTTGGTTTTCATTGGCGTTTCTCCATTCTTACCTCACTCAATCACAATCCCTCCCGTATTTCTTGCGCATTGGATAATATGTTTGATGTCGCAGTCACTGCTGTTCTGCCACACTTCACCTGAAGGCCTATTCAGACAGGATTAGCTTTTCGAACACTGGATGTGGAATAGCTCACACATTACACACCGCTATATAAAAAAAACTAGAGCAAAGAAAACTCAAGGGGTAGGGATATATAGTTTAATCTCAACTGTGTACCGGATCATCATGTTTTAGTCACAAAAAACTTTAAAAAAGAATGTGTGAGGATATTAGGTTAAAAAACAATGTTGAATCTGTAATGGTTGTAATAATAATGGGTTCCATTTGTAACGCACTTCATATTTGAACTCAAATCTCGTAAGCGCACAGTTCGAGGCTATACATAGAGCATTTATGGAATGACACATTCATGGTATATGAATCTATGTTGTAATTTGAAACAAACTAAACTGCCGAAAAGTCCTTAAATACTGTTGCTTTCAATAGTATTTTTTTATTGATTTTGAACCTGACTTTTCATATGGGTTTTACTTCAAAATGCCAATGGTATAGCAACTTTAACGTAAACTTAGCCGAGAAATATGAAAGCAAATGTCTGAACCGTGTTGCGTCCCCAAATACTTCGACTGGCCACAAACTTGGATTTTATAACATCTTTACACAAACTGCCGCCGTCTTAAGATGTAAGTTTGTTCTTAATTGATGGCATTTAATTGAGCCCTAAGACATTTTTTGAATCAAGATACATTGTGCGGCATAATATGTTAATATGATTAATTACATTTCTATTTCCTTGAAACACATGCAGAAATCTGTAAAGATATACTGACACAAATGGGAGTTTAATTGTATTTCCTAATTAAACCTATATACATGCATGCCTACATATACATAACACACACACACACACACACACACACACACACACACACACACACACACACACACACACACACACACACACACACACACACACACACACACACACACACACACACACACACACACACAGTACATAGAGTACACACACACGGCTTAAGGCTTAGGTTCCCGATTCCACAGACTCTGGAGTGTGATGCTAATGATGGATATTAATGGAGCCTGACAGCACAATCTGCTGCCCATTGTCTCCCAATAAACAGCTTTGCAGTCCACATGAGCCACAGAGGGGACGGGAGCTTTAAGCTGAGACAGTGAGAGCAGGCCGGGTGGAGGGTCAGACCTCAGGGGACAGCGCTGATCCTGAAGTGGGGATTAGCTCAATTAGAGAGGCACTGTCTGATCAAGATGCAGGATTTCATGGTACATATGATGTATGTGTGTGTGTTATGAGAGGAGTATCCATTATTAGAGACGACTGTTGCCATTATTTGTTGCCGTGTCTACTGATGCAGCTGGTGTGAACAATAGTCAAGATGATGCCTTTAGCTTTCTGTGACCTTCTGCGGAGATATCCATTTATTGTCATACATATAAATGGTAATTAATCTCCAATGTGTTTTATCGTCCAATTGATGACAGATCTATGAATATTTCAGTGTGCCTTAGCCAACTTGTTACAGGTCAGTTTTATCTGTATTTTTTATTTTGCTCAGGGGCATTAATACAGTATTTGGTCACTAATATGATTTGATCTTAAAGTTTTAAGTATGTTAGAGATGATCCACGTTTGTTTTTAGATTTACAGTTTTTTAACAAGGTGTGCTTTAAAGTATGAGCTTAATTGAGCTTTGCTTAAGTGACGGAATTGCCCAAATATAGGTTACACAAAACTCATTGCTTCTCTTAAAATGTGAATTTTCTGTATACAATTACACTGATTTTTCTTTTCTTGTATCAGTCACTGAAAAATGCATTTGTCCCCCCCTTTAAAAAGATACTCATTGCTGTAGATAACGATAAATAAGAACCCTTTTTCATGCAGTTTAAAAAAAATTCTGTTGAAAGAAAGAGTCCTTGTAAAAAAACATTCAATAGAAACAACTACGGTAGATAAACTGAAAGGGTTTTGTTGTGATTTTAAATATTTACCATGACCTTTCAGATTACATTAAGCAGATTTTTTAACAATTTTAAAATACATACTATAAATGTATAATATTAGTAATAGTTTGAAAGTATTTTTTGCCTCAATTTTAAGGAACCTCAGGGGAAATCGTTAAAGGAAATGAAAAGTGTGATGGGTTAAAAAGGCCATACCAGCTGGCAGATCCCCTGATCAGCGGTGAAAAAGCGGTACAATAAAGAGAGTCCACAGCGGGACAGAGGCTCAGAATCTTCCTCCGGCCGGGCTTTGTTGCGGGCTCAGACTGGAGGCTCAGACCTTCACAATATGTTTCGAGGCACAGTATCAGTGGCGCTCAGAGGAGCTTTCCTGCTCAAAGAGCCGCAGATAAGCAGCAATGAGACCTTCTTTCCCTCCTCTGAGGAACAATGGGCTCATTAAAGGAGCAAACAGATTATCACTGTTTTTCAATAGGGGCTCCTAAAAAGAGTCTGGGGGCCCAAACAGCTCCCAGCAGGTAGAGATAAGAAAACACTTGCACATCTGGCCAACCTGCTGCTAACTGCTACGTCTGTCAGTCTATCTCCCTAACTGCCTATTTCTATCTTTAATGGTATCAATCATTAGTATACAGTAACAATAAATGCTATGAATAGGAAGCTGGACTTGACAGAAGTTTGTGAGGTGACATGAACAATTTACTTGTGGGGAACTCCAGTGACCAATCAAATCGAAGCATTAGGTTAATTGTGATTTTGTTGTTAACGAAATACAGATTCACATTTTTTTAAAGTAAGAATTCAAGCTTCTGTACATCACCTGCTAACCTGCTGACAGAAAATGAGGGAAGGAGAAAAAGCCTTGCCTGTCACAACATGTTTGAACAGTGTCAGCAATAGGAAGAAAAAGGATAGAAGCCATTGTGATTCTGAGGGAAAAAAATCTGTTTTTTATTTTTTATCAAACCAGCTAAACAGTACAAAGCCTAAGGGATACTCCTGCAGAGCTGTATGTGTCCATGCCAACTAATGTGTGAACACTATACTGTAGGCAGATGCCCTTTGTAGTTTAAACAGAGCCATGTGGACATCCCTGTCAGTGCTTGTGTCTTTTTATATCTGGCCCGCAACAGTACTTAAGCTGCATTTAGATAAGGTGTACTACAGTATGAGTAGTTTAACTTTGTACAAGGCTGATATTAACCAACATCATTTAATTGAATGTCATGTACAGACAAGTTTGTAGGCCATACCACTCAATGAAAATCACTGACGAAACTGTCTGTCTGTAGTACACACAGAAGCTTAGTGGCATGGGTGCTTGTGGTTGTTTGTGACGGAGCTGGAAAACAGGAAGGGCAGGATGAAGGAAGCAGAGAAAGAGTTGCAACTAGTAGCTTATTGAAACATGACACATCTGTTACTCCGACTCAAATCAGAGTGGAAGTTACCTGAATAAGAAACATAAGATGCCCTCTCACCTTAGTGCAACTTTCTATTTCTTGTTAACTTGCCTCTAAAGTTGTATGAAATAAAAATAGAGAAA